AGCACCACGCCACACAGCGATCCACACACATAAAACAACCCCCATCACATAAAAATTTTTACTGTACTTTATTCTATGCAAAAATAATTCAAACATTGGAAAACAGTTAAAAATTTCACGCAACAGGGCATAAAAGTTGAATCCGAAACCTTAAAGGATGAATATCTTTCCGTGATTCCCGAGTTAATAGCTTACCCGCCAAAACTTTCACTAGCATGTAGGTGGTGCCCGATATGCGTTTTAATGCTGAATTTGATGGGCAAGGTTGAGCGTGGGCAAAGGGTCATTACCCCAAAATTTCAGCCTCCTAGACTCCATAGTTCCCGCGATATTAACTTACCCGTAAAAAATCTTCACGGGGCCGTTGGTGTTACCCGCGGGTAAGAGAAGGCTGAATTTGAATGGGCAGGGTTTAGCGTGGGCAGAGAGTCATTATCCTAAAATTTCAGCCTCCTAGACTTCGTGGTTCCCGAGATGTTAACTTACCCGTAAAAAACTTTCGCGGGGCCGTACGTGTTACCCGCGGGTACGGGGGAGCTGAATTTAAATTTCCGGGGTCACACGTGTGTCGGGAACGTTACCCTAGATTTTCAGCTTTCTAGCTTTTGTGGTTCCCCAGTTGAAAGTCCCAGACAAGTTGCTGTGGACACACACACACACACACACATACATACATACATACACACACACACACAAACACACACATAGACAACCCCGTGACAATATGCGTTTTGTATTGCTGTTACACAGCACAAAACGCATAACAATGAGTAATGCAGCTTTTTCTCCTAGTATTAGGTTTGGATGAGCGGAGGTTCGATAGCTGATTTATGGTTGCTAAAGGACTGTGTTTTAGAAAATATGTGCTCCCCGATCTTTGTTTTCCGGGATTGAATTATTCACATGCATAGGGAAACATACTTGCGCACATATAGGTGCATAACACACAGATGAGTATTACCTCACCATAATGGGTTTTTTTCGCTAAAATCCGTTAAAATTAAGGGAATTTTTACTTCCAGGGTGAGTCATTTTGCGGTGCAATTGGAGTAGGCGTTTCGACCAGAAGAACTGACTGCATTCTGGGCAGTTGAATCTGGCAAATTCAGAACTGTCCACCATTAAATGATCGGAATAATGCAAGTCGAGGGCTTGTTGGGTTGAAAAATTTTGGCTACAGTTAAGCCAGTAACAGCGATTTTCACGTTCCCGATTGTGGCTTCTGAGGTGCACTTTGAATTCTTGGAATGATTGCGTGCGCACGTTGCAGCTGACATCGCTGCATTGGTATGCGGCTATTGAAGATTTTTGCGCTGAATCTTGGTGGGGTTTAGATTGTTTGATGGTGCCCAATGCCAAAGTTGTAGCCGTTTGTGCGTCACATGGAGCGACTGAATTCGTATGCAGTGGCTTACCAGTAATCAACCTGACAATAATATCTGAATCGTTTTTGTGAGGCATCATTCCAGGTGGATGGTTTTCGGGCTGAGTCACAAGTGAATTGCCCTCCCAAGGCAAAAAATTTTCCCTGCTATCAATAGTTGCAAGGTTGAAATGTTCAGGATTCGAAATTTCCGCTGTCTGAGCAATTGGAAAGTGAATAGCACGCGCGTTCTCGATGTCTCGTTCTTGTTCACGCAATGTATTTATCGGCAATTCTGTATAGAAATCCAGAGGAAAAAATTCCGCATCCATAGGCTTCGAAGAAATCATCAGTGCATCGGGGCTTAAATCGTTTTGCTTGATATTTTGTTGCATTACGTAAGTTCCCATGTTCGGCGGCTCAAAATCAATTTTATTGAACAAAGCACCCGATCTTGGTGTTCTAATAGTTTGGGTACCATATAGGTCAAATGAATTTCTACGCAATTGCTCAGTATTTATTTCTCCGGAAATAATTTCAGCTCCACTATTTTGGGGCTCAATTTCAGGTAATTCGTTTTCGATTTGGTTTAAAAGTAAACAAGCATTCCATGCCAGGAAATCTTCCACGTTGTCAGAAGTTTCAGGATTAACATTTTCGGCGTTCGGTATCTGTGCTGCCTGAATAATTGGAAAACGGACAATATGCGCCTTATCGATATTCCATCCTTGTTGGCACATCGCCTCCATCATCTCTTCTGGTATCACGAAATCTACTTCGTGAGGTGAAAATTCCGGATTCAATAACTCTTCTGAATTCAGCTCATGTTTTTGCTCGTTGTGCTGCTGGATTGTATCAGCAGCAGCGTTCAACAGTCCAAAACTCATTTCGCCGGGCAAAGTATCATGCAGATTCGTGAAATCATGAGAAGCCAGTAACGCCTGAGAGCGAAAATTACTTTCTTCTTGCACCGGAATTGTATCATTGTGAGTTGTTGTTGGAGGAAAATTGGTGAAAATGAAATAAAATAAGAGAGGAGTGTGACGTAGTGTACCAGCCATTTGGAGGTTTCAACGCATGGAATGAGGATTTTGGGGAAAAACCGTCTGTCGTATGGTAATAGAAAGTGTTTTAAGCTGCTTAGAAGACTCGCGTATTGTACAGCTTTTAATGCACAGCTTTTAATTTATACGGAAAAAAAATGGGGTGGAAAATTTTCCCGATGGCTGTAACTCGGACAAAAACAAAGCTGAAATCAAAAGTCAAAACTCCCTTCGCATCTGTTGTCTTTGAGAGATTCTCAAATAGCCTGAATGGTAAC